GAGAATTGCTGAGGTTTCATGAGGATGTGGCCTTGGAACTGCCAGGTGGGGGTGGGGAGAGGGAAGGTCTTCTAATTAGTGAAAGCCCTGTGACGTGAGAGACTCTGGGAAGGCACACTGGGGAGCTCTGTGACAGGTGGGCAGAGGGCATGAGACCAGTGTGTCTTCCCTCTGTTACTCGGCATAACTCATAACCGTGCTGTTTTCTTGTGGCTGTTTCCCTGCTTGTGTGCGCAGGGCCTGGCACCGTGGGGCTCGCAGCCAGTGTTTGCTGAACGAATATTGCAATAGTTTGGGCGAAGCGGCAGAGGGGATGCAAAGGCAGGCAGGAGATGCCACCTACGTGGGGTCCAGGGTAGTCCTCAAAGCTAGAGTAAAGCAGGTGGAATGGAGGTGAAGAAGGAACGAGAGAACCCCGGAAAGACAGCAAGGCCTGTCGCTCACCGCGCCAGGAACAGAGGAGGAGGAGCAGCAAGTTTGAGGGAGAAAGACACCGCTGTGTTTGGAACATTCCGGGGGAAGCTACTGAGCAATAGAAGAATGGGGCGGACTGTGGGCCTGCACCTCAGGTTCCTGACTCCAAGGCTCCTAGCGAGCATGCTTTCCATTAGACCACTGTGTGACTTCTCCCTGTTAGAGAAGAACTAGACTTGTCTAGAGACTTCTCTAGAGTCGTCTCTCCTTTCCCATGAGGGATCATCTAAGCTTTGTTGTGCAGCTCTGTTCTGGAACAGGTGGCACTGTGACTGCATCTTGGCGCCAGAGGAAACCGCTTTAAATTTCCTCTCCCCTGGTGCATCCTGCTTCCTTAACCGGCGGCTCCTCCCTCCGAGAGCTGGGAGGATGGCAATTCCTGGATAGATTGTCTGTCTTTATAAGGAGAAAAGTTTGGCAGTGTGATTTCCTGTATGTTTCTGCTAGAGTCCAAGATTCCAGTAGGGCTAGCCTAGGCAGCAGGGGCAGCCACCTAAAACCCAATGTCGTAAGTAGTCCCAAGTAAGTACGAGGGCACCATCCCAACGGCCTTTGCCAAGCCAAAAGGCAGGATCACAGTTTTATTGCACCTTCTAGAGCATGTGGTCGAAGCGGCTTCCCATTTGGCTGCTTGGTGCTGGGGTTGTTTACATGCTTCAGGAAATGAGTTATCCTTACTGAAGTTGGCTGGATAGGACTTCAGAATAAATGACATATGACCACAATTACACCACTCACCAGGAGAACCGGGGTTCAGAAAAAGATTTACTTTGTGCAATAATCCTTTGGTGGAAAAGAGAGGTGCAGAACTTGAGTATTCCGCTCCCAGGTGGACACACAGTTGGCGAAGCCTGGGAGAGCTGGGCTGTCGCTCTTCCTGGCTCTCTGATGGAACCACGCTGGTCTGATGAGAGCCTATGTGGGGGGTGGCTTTGCACGGTTTGTGGGGACATGGGAAGCTGAAAAGGGTGCTTTTAGAAAAGTAGAGTTATCAAAGAATTTTTCAGAATGCCTGCATTTTCTTCAGAGGTAAAGACTCAATATAAAGCATATCCCTGGTCTCTGCAAGGAGGAAGTAAAACGTTCTTTCACGTGCAGAAACTCTGACTTTACACACTGCTTTTCAGGCTGCACGCATGCATGTATGGTACATGTAGCAGGCAGTGTCCACTTGAAGACTACAGTGAGGTGATAGGGATCACCAAGTTAGTCTTTAATTTCTCCCCTCTCTGCCCTTGAACGAACCTGAAGCATCCTGTGCTTCCTGCACCTATTTTGGTAATAGTTTGTAGAACAATGCTGCTTATTACTTCCGCCTCTTGTTACTGCCTTTGATTCATTTGACTTCTTCCTCCGTTCTTCAGACTGTCTCCAGGTGTTAGCATCCTTTAAAAATCATTTGAGTTATCTTTAAAGGCTTTGTTTAAAAAAAAATGCAAGCAAAAGAAATGCACAATATAAAAGAGTAAATCCCCTGAGAAAGACACTCCCTGCAAAGAATTTGTTCTGAAATCTGGTGTATCCTGTCAGTCCTGCTCAGAAATGCTCTGTGCTCCCTCTTCTTGGTCTTAGGGAACTGGCAGTGGGGGTGTGGGGCATGGGGACACAGCAGGCAGGCAGGGCCACTGGGGCATGTGTGCCGCCTGGGTCTTCAGGTCAGTGATAGACGGCTCCATCCCTGTCCTTACCGGACAAAATGAAACATCAGCATGTAGACAGACCCATTGTTTTTCCAGACAGCATTCATTGGCCATTTCCGTCTGCTTTGTCCACTGTGGGCACATGTAGTGCCGGGAACCGCGGGAGACAGGGTGGCTGCCCTTTGGAAGGCGTGGCGTTCCCGAGCAAGGAGTTTGGATTGTAGGTAAGACTTTCAAAAACAAAGGCAATTCTTCATCCTCTTAATATATTGTTTGAATTTATCTTTTCTTAAAGGGCTTTTAATTATAGAAGATAGCTTCAGAGACAAAATAATTAGAATTATATTTCTGTTTCCAAGCCCTTAGTTTCAGCTAATGGCTGTGAGACCTGTAGCCAGCAGGGGAGCTTTAACGAGCTTCCCTGTGAGCCTTCGGTGTTTCAGCTTTACATCTCTCCCACTGGTTTTTAGACATTGACCTTCATCTGTTCAGGGAATAGGGAGTCTGTGCCGTGAGCCAGGCATATGCTCTGCAGGAAAGAACGTATGAAATGGTGAACAGAAGGCCAGGGCCGGGTTGGGTTCATTTTTAAAATCTCCCTGTCCTAGCACAGTGTTTTTCCTTGCAGGTGTTCAAAGGATGTTTGTTGAATTAAACTCACATCCTGCCTCTTTCATACTGTTCGCACGAGCCAAGCTCAAGCAGAGGCCTATTTTTTCAAAAAGGAAGCGCCTGTCTTTTGCGTGTGTCGTGGTTCTTGCCGTCACGTGTCTGTGATCTCTCTCACCCAGCGAGGACAAGCGTGCTGGACTTGTTTCTGTGCTTCCCGGGACTTTGGTCCTGAAATGTCGCATACCCTGCTCAGTAGAAATATAATGCAAGCCATATATCTAATTTGAAAAATTTTAGAAGCTACATTTTAAAATCTAAAAAGAAGCGGGTGTTCCAATTTGAATAATTCATTTAACCCAGTATGTTCAAAGTATCATTTTCAATGATTAAAATATTAAATTTTGCATTATTTTATTCATATTATCTTCAAAACCCCATGTATATTTTACACTTAAACAGCACTAGCCCTGTGTGGCTAATGGCTGCCTCTCTGCACAGCATGGGTATATTATAATCTTTGAATTTTTGTGTACTCACCATGTAAATTATTAAATTCAAATAGGACAAGAGAGCTGGAAAAGTGTCCACCTTCCTGGCTGCATCAAGAGCAAAGGAGTTAAACTTAGATAAAATGGAATTACTTGCTCAGTGACATGTAATTTAGCTTACTGTTCCTTTTAAAAATTATTTTATTTATTGATTTTAGGGAGAGAGAGAAAGAGAAACATTCATTTGTTGTTCCACTTATTTATGCATTCATTGGTTGATTCTTGTATGTGCCCTGACAGGGGGATCGAACCTGCAGCCTTGGCTTATCAGGATGACACTCTCTAACCAACTGAGATACCTGGCCAGTGCTTATTGTTTCTTTTTAAACTATGCTTGTAAGCTTTTAGATTTTTCATCATTAGGGAGGTCCGTAATTCAAAAACCTTAGCTTCTGCTTTGGGAAATGCTGCTAAGCTGTTGCTGCCTTGGGGGCACCACCAGTTCCGGAGACACTCCTTTGTGTTTCTTCCTGCTGCGCTGGCCCCCAGGGTCCAAAGATCAGCTCTTCTGTCCTTCCCCTGCTTTCCCTTGAACGCCACATCTTTGCCAGCACTGACCCCACACTGTGTTCCCCGGAAACTTGAAATATTTACATCATTTATCTTAACTTCGTATGCAAGCGTTCCAGCTGGTGGAAATGGAATTCCATTTATCTATAAGGCTGACACTGTAATGTCTGAATACAGGAGAAGGAAATTATTTAGTTAAAAATGTAAAGTCCGCTTGTTTTAGCTCACATTCCTAAAACCCATAGGAAACAATGGGATCGATAAGATAAGCAAATATCTCTTAGATAACTGGTTAGCTGCTGAAAATGGCAAGGTAGTGGGGTAAAGCTATGTTTGGTGGGTAGGTGGAAGAAGAAGAAAGGGTTGACTGCCAAACCTTGGGTTCATGGGGAGAGAATCGTGGGAGAGGAACATACGGAGCATGTTTTTAAAACTTTTGGACAGGAATTCAAGTGTGATAAACATGGTGGTCGGCAGAAGAATCTCTGGTATGTGCAGTGAGGAGTCCATCTGCAGAGCCAGTGAGATGTTTGGGAAGAACTGAAAGCCCAGCCTAGAGCTCCCAGTTCAGGGTTCTTTCCCAGGTGCCTCACTACTCACTGCCTGGAGGGGGACATCTTGCCTCTGTGGGGTGACTGTCCGGGGAAACAGTGCTCCCGTCTGCAGGAGAGGAGCTACATAGTCAGATCTTCTAGGTTGGGACACCCAGGAAGCTGTGGTTCTGATGTTGTCCTGGCTGATGGGTCATTTTGTGCACACGAAGTGAAGTACATTTCCCCTGCCACCCCTTAGCTTGAAGTTTGGGATCAGCTTCTTTGTGTTAATTGTTCAGTTAAAATCCCAGCTCTAGCAACAAAAAAAATTATATTATTCCAATAGACAAGAAAAAATATTTCCATGTAAATGTTTAAAACAACTTTGCAAATATTTAGGTATCCACATGTATCAAATACTGCAGCTGTGGATCGTAAAAAGGGTCAGTTCACAGAAGTGAGTGGATCCAGAGTTCTGTCTAATTGGGGTTCACTTTTAACGTTCGCCTGTTGTTGATTCCGTGAGTTTCCAAATTAGAAATATGCTTGTTCCCATGGTACCTCAGGGTACCTTTCTTAAATACAGAATGATTTCAATTTACAATTTTCTTTGAGCTAAACTTTTAGTAAGTTTTCTTAGAATCAGCTTAACCCGTGGCAAGATCATTTGGTTTCAGGTCTTTATTAATGCTGGCTTAGTTTGGGAAATTGTTTTGGTTTTTGGATCTCTTCAGTGCTAAACAATTACTTTTAACTTCATTTTATAAAAGTTATGATCTAATTATTTTCCAGTATACTTGGGTTAACAAAATGCAGCAGTGGGGTGTGCCTGTCAGTGGCTGAACAGACCACTTTTTACATTCCTTAGAAATAAGATATGGTTCAGTATTTTAAATCATAGCAACAGTTGATAACAAAAACAGCAAAAAGGTAATCATTTCCATATGGAAAGAAAAGGAAGAACAGTGAAGCTGTGAACTGTCATTTTTCCAAATAAAAATAATTCACCACTGGTAGATTTGGCAGAAAGGGTAAATGTTCCTATTTGTTTCCCATTTTACATTTGTTAATACGTTGCATGTGATGTGTTTTATTGAAATACACCATGCCCCTCACTCTGCTGCCAGTTTCCAATTGTGTTTGTCCTTCTGAGTGAAGCTCACGTCTGGATGTGCCAGTTTCATCCAACACAGTATTTCCTTGGTGATAATTTTCTCAACTTAGTGAAATTTTGGTGAAAGTTCTTACCCCTTTTACTGAAAAGCATATAGCCATCTTCTAAATAACTATAAGTAATTTTAAAGCGCTAGTCGAATAAAATCAGTTTCTGCCTTGGCATTCCAAGGTCTAAAAGAAAAACTGACCCAAATTTCTGATATACAAAAAGTTTAAGAAATGCAAACAAAAGAAACATTTGCTTATTTACTTTTGTATATTTAAGCATGATGTGTATTTATTAACGAAATCCTGACATTTATTTTTAAATAGCTGCCTGAAGTGGAAAAATGTTACCTGTTGTAGAATAAAAATATTCAAAATACACATTCACCCTGCAGCATTTAACAACAGCTCCCTCTTGTGGTTCACAACATTCACTTCAAAGATAAATACATTTAAATACAGAATTGCAATTTCTTAGCTTAAAATTGTGCTGTGAAAGTTCAGCTTCTATTTCATGAATCTTTTTTGGAATAAAGAGGGAAGAGTTATTTATATAGGGAAAAAACACAATATTCCCTTTTTTGCACAGTTCCAGAGTTCCAACATCTCACCAAAGTGTTTCCAAAGTTCTTTATAGAAACACCAATTTTTTTTCCCTAAAAATGAAAATACCAAGTAGACATTTTCATTGAAAACATGCTACTTTCCATCTAAGAGGTTTTTGTCCTGTTCTGTGGGCATAGTATGCAAAAGAAATCAACATCTGACCTGGTTGCTTTTTAAAGATCAAAATTTGAAAATTAACAGGGAAAACAGTATTGAAAATAGTTTAGTCCAAAAATGATGTAAGGTACTTTTTCCCTGAGCCATCTGTGCAAGGTCAGAGGTTGCAGTAGCTGGCAACAACCCGTTCTAACAATGTGAAGCTGTCCAAAAAGTCTTCTTCTTCAATTCCAAATTTTGTGTACTGATGAATGTAGGCCCTGGTAAAAGAAACAGAAAATGTAAAGTGAAAAATCCCAGACACATAAATAAAACCAAACAACAGTTCCTAGCTCATGAACATTTAAAGACAGCAGAATCTCTTCAAAGTCTTAGATTTGCTTCAGTGCTTGTTCCAAAGATCAGCAAACTTTTCAAGTTGATGCAGGCTCCCTGCCTCTTTCAGTGTCCAAGAGAGTGACGATAAGAAGCACACAGGGGAGAGAGGCAAGTTCAGGTTTGGCCGTCCACCCAGCACTAGCAAAGATTCTAACTGAGCAAGACCAGGATCTCTTCCATTCTTCCAAGGATCTTATTTTAGAAAACTTCCTTATTACCCTTGTCCTATAATGAAGTTTCTACTTTCATTTAGAAACCAGTTTAGTCCACAACAGTAATAACAATATCAAACAATTACTGACCATTAGCCAGTCAGTCGCTGCACTAGGTGTTCTTGCATGGTTATCTCACTTACTCCTCCCCACCGGCCCTCTCAGTCTGGACCCATTGTACAGACAAGGACAAGAGCCTGAAGGAACACGCCTAAAGTTTCACACCTACAAAGTGGTAGCCATGCCTACTCCGGGCTACAGATTGAAGGTTTGTGTGCCCCAAGGTGATGGTATTAGGAAGTAAGGCCTTGGGGAGGCAATTAAATCACAAGGGTGGAGGCCTCATGAATGGGACTAGTGCCCTTGTCAAAGAGCCCAGGAAAGCTCCTTCAGCTATTCTGCCACTTGAGGATACAGAGAAAAGACACCATATGTGAACCAGAAAGTGCATTTTCACCAGACATCCAATCTGTCAGCACTTTAATCTTGGACTTCCCAGCCTCCAGAACTGTAAGACATAAATGATTCTTTATAGGCTACCTAGTCTGTTTTTGCAAAAGCAGCCTCAATGGACTAAGACATTCCAGATCCTGCATTGTGTTAAAATTTATTGATTGATTTTTAGAGAGGAAGGGAGAGAGACAGAGAGAAAGAGAGGGAGAGAAACATCGATTTGTTGTTCCACTCATTTATGCATTCACTAGTTCTTGTATGTGCCCTGACTGGGGATTGAACCCACAACCTTGGTGAATCAGGATGACGCTCCAACCAACTGAGCCACTTGGCCAAGGCTTTAGCATTATGTTATCTGCCTAAGGTTAGAAAGGTTTGTAGATTTATCTTTTACTTACTTTGAAGCAAACATATTCCATGCTTTGCTCACAATCACATCAAGTGGTTTTACTAAGAATTGGCTGTTGCTGACCAGTGCTGCAGACTTCTCATACTTGCTAAAGGCTCGCTGGGTTTTCCACACGTTGAAAGCATTATCTGGTCCCAGCCAGGAAGTATAGAGAGCTGGGTCTTTAAATCCCCCTAGAACAAAACAACATAAACCGCTGTTCACATGGTAAATGTTTTTGAAAACAAAGTAATAAAGGAATATATATGTTCTTATCCATTTCACCAAAAATCTTTTCTTTTGCCTTTTAAAACTAGCTTAATATTGAAAAAAATAAATTTTAAGAAATAAAAGTCAGCTAGTTTTATATTGCTTTTGGATACATGATTTATACACATCATAAAAAAATAAATAACTCACACCATTCAGAAAAGTACTATGAAGAAAATGTTTAAGTCAACCAAACAGTGGAAGCGCCACCATCCAGAGATGCGGAGGAACATTCGCTGACTCTCGTGTGTGTGGTTTTATACATACACTCTTCTGTAGCCTGCGTTTTCCAGTCACCAGTGTTGTGATCCACTTTTCCACTCCAACAACTATCACTCATATTTATTACTTTTCATTTACAAAATGTTTTATTTATTTACTTTTAGAGAGACGGGGAGGGAGAGAAAAAGAGGAAAACATCCATTGATTGCCTCTCACGTGCCCCCATCTGGGGGTCTGGCCCACAACTCAGGCAAGTGCCCTGACCTGGAATCCAACCAGCGACCTTTCGGTTGGGAGGATGACGCCCAGCCACTGAGCTTCGCCGGCCAGAGCTCAATGGTAGATTCTTGCATGTGCCCTGACCAGAGATGAAACCCACAACCTTGGTGTATCAGGATGATACTCTAATCAACTGAGCTACCTGGCCAGAGTAACTTCCTAAACATTTTGTAACAAAATGTGTAGCACAGAGACCACAAGCTATCCCACAATACCTGTTCTCCCTTCTTTAATAACGGGACCCCCAAATGTTAACTGTGCTCGCGGTGACATTTGCAGCTGGGTGTGGCACGTGACTCAGTCAAGCAGATACAAACACAAGTGCAGTGTGCGGCCTTGGTAGGGGCAGTGTATCGTTTTTTGCTCATTTGTATGTGATTTGATGCCTGAACCTCTAACAGCCATCTCAGACTAAAAGGAAGAAGCTGCAAGGTCATGACAACAGAACCACCAGATTAGGGTAGAAAGAATTAAACTAGTATCTTATTTAAACCACTTCTGTTTTGTTGTTCAGTCACATACTAACTGGTACAACGGCTACATTTTGTTACTAAGAAACATAGTTATTATTTTCCTTTCTCTAAGAATAGATTCAGGGAGGTTTTTTTTTGTTTGTTTTGTTTTTTTTTACCATGTATGACTTTTTTTTAAATAGTTTTTTAAACTTATTTATTTATTTATCTTTAGAGGTGAAGGGAAGGAGAGAGGGAGAGAAATATCAATGTATGGTTGCCTCTCATGCGTCCTCTGCTGGGAACTGGCCTGCAACCCAGGCATGTGCCCTGACAGGGAATTGAACTGTGAACCTTTGGTTCAAAGGCCCACGCTCAATCCACTGAGCTGTGCCAGCCAGGGCCATGTATGATGTCTTTATGTGCAAAAAGCACATCTTAATTTTCACCTTTACTGCTGCTTACCCACATCTGCACTGTGCACATCTTTCCCACGAAGGATGACCAAGTTAGCAATGGAAGTGTTAAAGCGGAGCTCCTCATTGAGGGACCTCTTACCAAGAGTCGGCAGTCTTGCTAAAGGAGGCTGTACCCTCCAATCAATACCTACCAAAAGCAAAACAAACAAAAAAAAAAGCAAGAGATTTTATAAATGACTTTGAACAAGAAGGGAAAAATGTATTACGGTGTGGGTATTTTACATAAAATTTTATTTAATAACTAAAAGTTCTTTTTTTTTGCTGAAAGTTTAAAAAATTTGTATTGGTTGACCTAAAGTGATCCAAACTATACCGAGAAAGGCATGAAATATTCCTCACCAACTATTAAAGGTTGGTGGTAGGTGTGTAAGATGAAATTCTAGTCAGCAATAAAGAGGCACCAACTCCCAATACACGTAATGACATGGGTAAACCTCAAAAGCATGATGCTAAGTGAAACAAGCTAGACTCAAAAGACCACACAGTGCATAATTCCCTTTACAGGACATTCGGGAAAAGGCAAAACCATAGGAACAAAATTGAGATCAGCAGTTGCCAGGAACTAGCGGTGGAGAGAAGAGACCATCTACTAAGGGTGTGACGGAATGTCTGGACACGATAAAAATACTCTCAGTTGTAAAGGTCACACGCTGGAAGTTTGTCAGAATTCATGGAACTATACACTGAAAAAAAGCTGAACTTCACTCTACATATGGTTACGAGTAAGCAAAACACACACAAAATGTAAAGAGATGTAGAAACACAAAACCAAAATAGGACTGCAAATTTACAAGCCATGTGGAAATATGAAGAAAATACTCAAATTACACATAGGATAGGGGTAAAATTGAGTACACAGTAACACTGATTTTCAGCAAAAATAGAAATACAACAAATAAAACATTTTGGCATGCTGAACTCAGTAAGACAAACAAGCCAATTTAAAAACTAGAAAGACGTTTGAGTAGAAATTTCACCGAAGACGAGCAGACGGCTAATAAGCACATAAAATGATACTCAGCATCACTGTCATCAGCACAAGGCAGAGAGAACCACAAGGAGGCACCACCGCACACCGGTTAGAACATTTCTAATCAAAAAGACAGACGGACGTTGGGACCGATGTGGAAAAACTAAAACCTTCTTAAACCACTTGTGGGAATGTAAAATGGCGCAACCACTTCGGAAAAGAGTTTAGCCCACGGGCTTATCCTTGGACTCAGCAATGCCACGCTCAGGCATGTTAAGAGACTGAAAACTTGGGTCCCCACAAAGACTGGCACGTACTACAACATGGATGAACCTCAAAAACATTAGGCTCAGTGAAAGGAGTCAAACGCAAAAAACTATATATTGTGTAATTCCATTTACACAAAATGTCCAACCTAGGCAATATCTGTAAAGACAAAAGGCACAGCAGGGGTTGTTTGGGGGCAGGAGTCAAAGTAGGGACTGAATGCCAGTGGACACGGAAGCTTTTTTGGAGTGGCGGGACTGTTCCAGCACCGGATGGGGACGGTGCTCGCACAGCTCCGCGAATCTGCAGAAACATCGCAGGGCAGCGCACTCACACCAGGGAGGCCCAGGGCGTGTGCGCTCCGCGTCAGTGAAATCACTGCGAAGTGCATGGCGTGCTGTCAAAGCTGCAGTTGTTGGGTAAGTCATCACCCGACGTTACCCTGAAATAAAGGTGAGACTTTATCAAAAAGTTTCAGAAAGAAAAAAGAAATGAAGCCAATAAAAATATATATTTAATTTATTTATTTTGAGAGAGGGGAAGGGAGAGAGATATAGTGGGAGAGAAACACTGATTGGTTGCCTCTCACACACCCCAAACTGGGAACCTGGCCCAGAACCCAGGCATGTGTCTTGACTGGGAATAGAACCAGTGACCCTTCTGTTTTCAGGACAAGGCCCAACCCATTGAGCCACACCAGTCAGGGCTGACTGTACTAAATTTGAAAGGAGGCCATAAAATATTGTTATGTTGAAAAAAAGTTGTAGAACAACAAAAAAATACATATAATGTGATGCCAGTTTTATTTTCTGAAAAGTCTATTAACAGAATACCCTCAAATCTCTTTCTGGTTCTCATATGCATAAATTAATCCAAACTAGCAAAAATAAATCAACTAATAAAATAAAATTTAGAAATAAAATGTTTTTGCCCTGGCTGGTGTGGCTCAGCGGACTGAGTGCCGGCCTGTGAACGGAAAGGTAGCCTGGTCGATCACCCGTCAATCATGAGAGGCAACCAGTCCACATCCAGGAACCGGTGTTTCTCTCTCTCTCTCCCCCGCTTCCCCTCTCTCTAAAAATAAATAAAATCTTTATACATTAAAAGAAAATGAAAATAAAATGTTTTAAATAAAACTTAAATAAACAAGTGAAATTATAATTTAGCTGGTTCAGAGGGTCAAGCCAAAACCACGGAAAATTATTCCCAGGCCTTACATTTTAATCAAGACACTGCTAGCATGTGCCTGACGAATCGTTTTAGCCGAGTGACTCCTGTGGGCCTTCCGTGTGCCCATTGTTGAAGTGGAGTGTCTACCAGTTGTCCTATGCCTGGTCTCCCACAGTCTGCTGGGATTGGGGGGAGGAGCTATATTCTAAGAGCTATACTCTTGAAATCTCACCTGAGAAGTATAAATTCACACCCAGACCTGGTTTTAAATGTCAAGATCCTGGGCTTCAGACTGATATGCTAATTGGACATAGCTTTCAGGGGCCATGGGAGGGGTTCAATACATTCTGCAGATGGGAGGGAGAGTGGTAGCCAACCTCCAGGATGCACCCCAAGCGTCCTTGCCCCCTGGAATTCAGGCTCTTGTGTGGTCTGCTTCCACATGGGATAGTGCTGACCTTAATAACCAAACAGATGGTGCAGAAATGACGGTGTGCGACTTCCAAAGCTAGGTCATAAAAGACACTGTAACTTCTGCCTGGCTCCCTGTTGGATCATTCATTCCTCCTGGTGCTAGGACATGTGGACACACCTATACTGCTGACTGCAATATTAATGGGATCAATCTTCACACAGAACAGCCTGGTAACATATGAAGCATTTTAAAACTCTATTCTTCAGCTCAGTTAGTGACTCATATATATTTATTCTTATATATCCATATATTATATATAAACATTTTTATGTTCAAAGCTCTTATCTGTAATTGTGAAAAAATGTTTAAACCCTCAAGTCCCTCAGAGGAAAATGACTAAGCAGATCATGGTTTATTCACCCAGTAGCCAGTGCAGCAGCCTTACGCCATCCCTGGGAACACTGTGTTCCTCGAGGTGTTAACAGGTATTGCTAGAAAAACAGGCATGTCCTGTGGCCAAAAAATTCAGGATGTGAGCTATAAATTAAGATGTGAACTATACACTTATCTCCAAACCTCAGGCACTATAATCTAAAGTCCAAAAGGTATCACAAGCCATGGCCTGGCAGCTCAGTTGGTTAGAGCATTATTCCAATATGCCAAGGTTGTGGTTTCAATCCCCAGTCAGGGCACATGTAAAAATCAACTAATTAATGCATGAATAAGTAGAACAACAAATCAATATTTCTCTATCTCCCTTCCTCTTTTCAAAACCAATAAATTTTTAAATATAAAATAAAATATATAAGGTATTGCAAGTAAATGTAGAAGAAATTCACTTTCATAGTATTGAAACTTAAGTTATTGTGATTTGTGGTAAAACATACACTACAAAAATAATACATAAGCCCTGGCTGGTGCGACTCAGTGGTTAAGTGCCGGCCTGTGAACCAAAGGGTTGCTGGTTTGATTCCCAGTCAAGGCGCATGCTTGGGTTGCAGGCCAGGTCCCCAGTAGGGGGTGCATGAGAGGTAACCACGAACTGATGTTTCTCTCTCTCCCTTACCCTCTATAAAAAATTTAATTAAATCTTAAAAAAAACACACACACACAGCAGTGATTTCCAGTTAAACATGGCAGACTGAACATATACCAGTTTACCCTCACTTTCTCCCCAAATCTCACAATACAGGGATTTTTTTAAAAAAAAACATAAGCAAGAAAAAGGGACCGGCACAGCAGATAATGGCAACAAAGTTTTGGAAGCTGGAAAGCAAAGGAATCGGTGGTTACTAATTTAGCAACCAGGGAAAGCTGAAACTTCTGCCCACAGAGGAGGTCCTAGAAGCAGGCCAGACTGAGGAAAAAAAGAGGATTGAACATTTGTATGAGAAGCAGTGAGAGCCCCAGGCCCGTCCACTCCCCAGGGCAGGGGGAGTGCACCCCTTCATCCTGGAAGGTTTGTGCTCAGGAAAGGCTAAGCCACTGAGGTTCTGGCTTGGGCTGAGCCACTGTTTCAGGCTCTAAAGATATAGCAGGAAATAGATTTAAAAAAAAAACAAGATTAAAAAAAAACCAAAACTGCTTTCATTCTACTGAGATAAACCAAAGGTCCACACTAAGGAATTCCAGAGTGCTAAAAACAGAGAAAATCCTAAAAGATTCAAGAGAGAATAAAATAGGGGTAGGAATCCGAAGTAACCCTGGAAGCTGTAAGGTAAGAGAGCAACGCCTTCAAAATACTGAGTAAAAATCACTCCCCCTCGAATCCCGTACCTGGCCATCATGTGAGGGCAGAATAATGATACTGGCAGCCTTAAAATTTTTACCTTCTCTGAACTCTTTGTTAAGACACTCCTGGAGAGTGTGGTCTATCCATAGAAACAGGAAGATATGAGACCTAGAAATGGGAGAGAGGACAAATGGGGCAGAGATGCCAGTGGTTGCTTTTCGAGCCAGGAAAGCCATCAGTGCTACTGGACAGGAGGAGTTGGGTCTCTCACAGCAACAGCGCCAAGCAGATAATGAAAGTATTAGGTTTCATGAGGGTCTGAACACACTGAGATGGGGTTCATTTTCATGAAAAAGTTTAGAGATATATTAGTGATGGGTACATGGGCTATCGACCAAATAAATGTAATTATTAACTCCAGAAGGTAAAAAGTGAACTTTTATATGAAATAAAATGTAACCCGTGTATATATTGTATAGTACATAGCTCAACAGTGAATGATAGCTACACAGCAAAAGTAATTCAAACACTGAAAACTGATCTAACCCAAAAGAGAGAGAGAGAGAGAGAGAGAGAGAGAGAGAGAGAGAGAGAGTGTGTGTGTGTGTGTGTGTGTGTGTGTGTGTGTAGGGGTATAAGAAGGTTCCATCCCCAATTTTCACATCAGAAAGGCAGTTGATAATATCTAAACCTGGAAAATAAAACAAGTAACTGTATAAGCAAGAGATTTTGGAGTCAAATTCCAGAAAAAACAGCTAAAAACACTGGAAGTAGGGCATCAGCTGTGTGGGGGGACGTGCAGCGCAGGGGTCTGCTCTTTTCCTCATTAGAAATTCATGCAGGACAATTACTTGGCTTTAAAAAACCTGATATATATATATATAGATATCTATATCTATATATATATATATAATGCAATATATGTAAACATAAAATCGGTAAACATTTTATAATACAAATCTGTAATTAAAATGGGCTTAAGAATACACTTAAATGAGTTGTGACTACTTGATTTTTTAAAAACTGTTCATATATTACTTTGACAAAAATAAAATGTAAGTAAAAATAAATGTCCCCCTCGTCTGAAATTTTCTTGGGAAACGACACTGTGAAGCAATTAAGAAGCCCTCCTGGGATGTCCTGGTGAGTTTTTGCAGGCACCTCCCTGGCCAGAAGAAGCGATCGTTATTTGAGCTGGCCCAGACCAGTTTATACTGAGAACTCCAGTACGGGCATTTTTCCTAGCTTGTGGGCTACATAGTTTTAAAATACCCTTTACCTTCTTCCATTTTCGCATTAGAAATGAGCATCTGTCTCAAATGCTTGAGGAGGCCAGCCCAAGTAAACGTGCTGTATGCCAGTGAGTTCTCAGACATGTGAGGAATGTTACGGACACCCAGCATCTTGAATTCGGGATGGGGAACTAAATTCTCCATTAAGTTTCCTGTAAAGAAAAAAAAATCTTCACTAACTTTTTGAGTTCACGGCGTTCCCATTGGTCTACACACAACCATGACTTGATGGCCTTTGGATGTTTTCTCCTCCAAGACCAGAACTGCTTACACTTTAAAATGTAAATAAAATTTCAGAGACAATCTATTAAAGACCATGTATTTGTTGTGTTTTGGCACCAATCTTAGTATGACTGAGAAATAACACTCTGCTGAGAAGGAAATGAGAGTTTAGAAGCCAAGTAACTGGAAATATGAACAAAATATTTAGCCAAACCCCAGGAAAACAAAGTAAGCATGAGAGTTAATACGCTTTTATTATCATTCTGTATTCACCACATATTTCTTTAGAAATTGTCCTAGATCTGTACTTTATTTTGTCTAATGAAATAATAATCAGAACTGTGAGCAACAAACGTACGTTGTTTAAATGCCACCCAGCCTGTGGTATTTTCGTGACCGCGGCCCGAGCAGATGAGGACAGACTAATCCGTGAACGTCCTGCCTCCTCGATCCATCAGTCTTCCCCTTCCTTCACTTCCCTCCTTGTGCAGCTCCTGGCCCCTCTGTCTATCAAATCTTTCTGGTGAGAACCTCACACTCTCTCCGCCTGTTACAGCACGGCTACGGAAAGTCACCCCACGTGGCAGATTGGGACCCCTCGGAATTCACGATCCCCAATTGCTTTGTTGAGATGGTGTTTCCTCAAACACCTGAGCAGAACAGTGTGGGTATTGAGGTCTTAGTGGACCTAAGTTTTAAATATTGAGCAAATGAGCCACGCCTGGGTATCTCAGTCAGTTTAGGGTGCCTGACATGCCAAGGCTGTGAGTTCGATCCCCAGTCAGGGCACATACAAGAATCAACCAATGAGTGCATAAATACATGGAACAACAAATTGATGTCTTTCTCTCTCCACCCCCCTGAATTAAAATCAGTAAGAGATATGTATTTTTTTCAAAATTGAGCAACTGAAGGATTGAGGACACACGCTCTTGGCGGAAGGCTGAGAGACCTGTGTTAGACATGGTATGTTTGGAATGTCCATGAAATGCGTGCATAGAGAGGTCAGGAAGGCTGCTGGATACAGAAATCTGGAGCTTTGGGAATTGGTCAGAGTTTAACCTGCAGATAAACTGGCAGGTTAGAGAACACACATGGCATTTAAAGCCATGGGACCAGGGCAAGGGTCCAAGACTAGCATTCAGAGCTTGGAAAAAGGAGGGATGGGGGAATACAAGGAGGGAATACAAGAAGTGGTCATGGAGACAGGAGAAAAGTTAGGAGGGCTGTCACAGAAGACAGAGGAAACTTGGAAAACAGGGGTCAGGCATGTTGGGGTCCACTGGGGGTTGATGGAAACGAGAACAGTGAGGTATCCACCGAATTTAGCAGTGTGGACACGTTTGTGATGTATAAAAAGCAATTTCAGGGAAGTGGTGGGGGAGAAACTGGATGACGGTGGGCTGAAGAGTGACCACGTGTTGAGGACATGAGGACAGCAAGGACAGACAGCCATGAGCTATCGGTGGTCATGTCAGGGGAGGGTTTTCTCGGTGAGAGGAGCCAGAAAGTAGTCATAAGGGGGGTAACCCAGGGAAGAGGTACGAGTTAATGGTGCGGGGAGATGAGACATGAGTAAGGACTTAAGTCCCTGAGAGGGGGAGGGAATGGGTCCCAGAACTCAAGTGAGAAGTTGGCTTTTGACAGGAGCAGGACTGCCCCCTACTGCGGCGATGCAAGGCAAAGGGCCAATGTAAAGTTTGTAGACATGCTCGTGGGGGTCAAGGGAGCGCCCCTCTAATGGACAGCCTTTCCTTTCTCAGTGCAGGTCGGTGTAATCAAGCCACCGTGGCCTCTCTGGGGAATGACCGCCCCAGCCTGCAGTCTCAACTTCCCATGGGCTCTCCACCATCAGTCCAGTCGACCTTTTCAAAAGTAAAAGTGATTTAAGCCAATCTGCTTAAAATTTTTCCATGGACTCCCCCTGTTCTCAGGTTAACGAGGAAGGCCTTCATATGACTTACCAGCACCTACAAGGTCCACCCCTGCTTACCACTCTACGCTCATTCCAATCATCTCCTATATCACTTGCTGTGCTCTGGTAGGACTGGATTTCTCTCTGGTCTTGATGGGCCATGCTTCCTTCCACCACAGGGCCTTTGCACATGCCATTCCCTCTCTTTGTGCTATTTCCTTCTCCCTCACTTTGCTTAATGAACTATAAGTCCTCATCCACTTGGCTCAAGTGGTATCTTCTCCAAGCAGCCTTTTCTGCTCCTTCAGCCTAAGTCTGGTTCTTTCATGACACATTGTGTTAGAACTGTGCCCCTTTCCTTCAGAGCACTTAACTCCATTTTTAGTTATACATTTGTGTATAATATTTGTTAATGTCTCTCTTTCACAGTGAATACAATGTGTGCCATGGCTCCCCACTGGATCTCTAACATTTATCACAGTGCCTGGCACGTAACAGGAAGTTAATAAATATTGGTTGAATGAGTAGATGTGCAATATGGGAAGTACTGTGGAATGTGCAGACATTAACAAAACATGTACAGGACATGCACATGCCTGTACATGTTCATGCCTGGACAGGGTTTCTCTCTATGGGGACACATGGTGATGGTTACACCTGGGGAGGGGTGGGGGTGGGAGGGAGATGTACCTTTGATTGCATATTCTTTTGTACTCCTTGAATGAATGCGTGTGTAACTTTTAAAGATAAGCAAACACGCCAAGAAATAATAAAGGCAGAAAACATTACATGACATAAAAGATGTAAAGAATACCACCAAAGAGAAGAGGATTACTTTAAGCAAAGGCCTCAGTAGAAAAGCTTTGTGGAAAACTTACCTCTTGAATTGGACCCTGAAGGATGAGTAAGGTTTCAGCGGAGGTGAAGCAGGGAGAGAGGTAGCAATTTCTAGGGAGAAGGAGCAGTGAGCAAAGAGACCAGGGCAGGAAAGTACCAGACTGAAAACAAACAGTGAGGGTGGGATAGAAAGCAGGTGGGGATCCATGCAGAGGAGGCAACAGGTAATAAAGCTAGAAAATTCAGGTTCAGGGCATAATGTGGAGGCCAGGCTAAGGCATTCTGACAAAACTAGCAGTTAATGCGTGAGCCATGGACCAAGCGTAAGAGAGGGCAAGGGTTAGATCTGTGTGCCGGGGAGGCTCACTTGGGCTCAGTGTCCAAGAGGGACTGCAGCGGGGAGAGGCAGGCCCCCAGAAGGGAAGTAGCATTAGGGCCACCTTAAGCCAGGAATATCCTCATGGATGTAAGTGTTTGTTTTTATTCCAAAAATAAGATAAAATGAGAACAGAAAGGGGCTAGTTTGCCTTGTGTTCGTATGCAGTATTAGTTGAGAGACATTAACACACTGAACCAATGCCAGAGAGGCAGGGGGGTAGGGAAGAACGCAGACAGATGACCGAGATCGCACCCGCAGGTAGAGCATACTGACTAGACATGAGGACAGTGGGAGAAATCGGGTGATGGGAAGTGAGGGAGAGGTGGCAGGAGAGAGAAGACAGGGAAAGATGATGAGTCCATTCAGAACGTGCTAAATAAAAAGAAGAAAAGAGAAGAAAGAAGAAAGAAGAAGAAGAAGAAGGCAACTAAGAAAACTGGGACAGGTAACTAGTTGGGAAAGAGATTAGGCCTGGGTGGGGGGTATAGATTGCGACGTCATTTGCATCCATACAGTTTGAATTGAGAAGGTACTATTTGCTGAATAAGCTGGGTATCTTTATGGAGTAATGAAAATGACAGTTGTGAATATGCTAAAAAATATTGACTTATACACTTTAAATGGGTGAATTGTCTGGTAAGTGAATTATATCTTAAAGTTTCTTTTTAAGATTTTATTTATTTATTTTTAGAGAGAGGGGAAGAGAGAGAGAAAGAGAGGGAAAATTTGATATTTGGTTGCCTCTCATATACGCCCTACTGGGGACCTGGCTGCAACCCATGCATGTGCTCTGACTGGGAACTGAACCCCAGGGACCCTTTGGTTCGCAGGCCAGCACTCAATCCATTGAACCACACCAGCCAGCGCTATATCTTAAAGTTTTTGTTAAAAAAAAAAAAAAAAAGACAGAGAGAGAGCAAATCCTGAAGAACAGAGTAGGTGGGTATCCACCACTCTTTTGAGAAATTTAGTAACTTCCCAAAACTTTTCAGTAAGACAGTGAAGAGAGCTAAGCAGCTATGTAGGAAGGCTTCTGACGTGAGGGAAACCTAGTGTATCTCAGGCAGAGGAGAGCAGCCAAGGAAGGATCACTTTGAGGCTTTCAGAGCATAAGACTTTCCTAATAACATCCAGGAGGACAATACCTAATGGATTTCTTCTGTAGTGAAATGAGCCTTCCTCAGAATAAGTAGGCTGGAACACACTTCCCAGCTGATGGGCGAGGACTTGATTTATATTGTTAAAGGATATCTGCTTGATATTCAGCAATTTTGCACAGATCTTATGAACAGCATCATTCTCATGAACAAGGAGGGCGTCTGAAGACCGGTACAAGTGAGAAAGAGTCAAAATGGAGTTGTAGTTCTGAACAATGACCTGGAGGGAAGAAGGTCAGAAATAAGAAAAGCAGGAGAGAATAGTGGTTAAGAGGGTGGATTCTAAGGGCATCCTGCCTGGGATCAAATCCCAGCTCCGTCACTTTCTGACTGTATGATTTTGGACAAGTCATTTAATCTTTCTATGCTTCAGCTACCTCATTTGAAAAATGGGAATAATAATTATACCCACATCCTGGAGTTGTAAAGGTTGAAAACAGAATGCATATTAGCACTTAGAACAGTGTCTTGTATATAGTAAGGGTTCAATAAACCGTGAGCATTACTATCACACTTTCTTCCTACATCATTTCCAAACTGACTTATCTCACCTCCATTTTATAATTTCTCAAGGTCCCTGCTGTCTGTAGCCAGAGGGTTAACCCAGGAATGGGTTCCAGAGAGAAAGTGCACAATTGTCTTCTTTGGAATTTTTAAGAACAAGAACTCCTCATTTGTTTGGAAAAGTTTGAGCAAAGTTAAATGAATTGTTCATGCAGGTACCACATTGCAAAATAACTCCTGACGCAGTAACTTAATATTTCCAAAGAAAGGGTCAGATCAATCTTTTACCTACATTCATTTCAACTGCAAAGAATGCAAAATATAAACATTTCAATTAATGTATTCATACCTCACCAGTTCCATAAGGCCATATAATGTGATTCATTTTCAAAGAGCTGGAATACTGATCTTGTAAATTCTGTGTAATGAAGGTTCCTAGTCCAGACCCTGTGCCTCCAGCCATACTCATTATGATGAAAAAACCACTCAAAGAGTCACATTTCTCTACTTCCTTCTGGATTAGGTTCATTACAGATTCTTCATGTCTGGGTCCATGAACAGAGTAACTATACAATGCAGAGAAACAACACAAACACTTTAAAATTTAACCAGAAATATGCAATACAGAGAGAAAGATATAGGCTAGAGAAGACTTTTTAAAATCTATGAAAGTGGACTAAGTCTCACGAAAGGTATAATATTTAAAATACACAAGTTAGCCCTGACCAGTGTGGCTCAGTTTGTTGGGCATCATCCCACGAACACAGGAGTCACAGGTTCAATTCCCGGTCAGGGCACATGCCTGGGAAGGCTCAGTCCTTGGTTGGGGCATGTAAGAGCAGCAACTGATCGATGTTTCTTTCTCACATCAATCTTTCCCTCCCTGTCTTTCTCCCTCCCACCCCCTCTCTCTTAAAAATAAATACAATCCTTAACAAAATAAAAATACACACATTTAACATAGTTAACAGGTGGAGTAGGACTGCTAGAAGAGTGAATTTACTATGTACAGACAATTCTCTGTTATAGGCCAGTCCTATAGCTGGAGACTCCAATTACCAGGCAGTCCTGTAAGTTTATGGTACAACGTAACATTCAGCACTCATAACAGTACTCCTAAGGCAGGGGCTCCTGAACTTTTCTGCACATTATAATCAACTAGGGGAGCTTTGAAAAAAATGCAACATCTAGGTTTCATCCCATGCCGATCAAATCAGAAATTTTTAAAAATTTTATTTATTTATTTTTAGACAGAGGGGAAGGGAAGAAAGAAAGGGAAAGAAACATCAATGTGTGGTTGCCTCTTGCTTTCTTCCCACTGGGGACCTAACACACAACCCAGGCATGTGCCCTGAGTAGGATCCAAGCCAGTGACCCTTTGGTTTGCAGCCCACGCTCGATCCACTGAGCCACACCAGCCAGGGCAGAATTTTTTAATTGAGCTCCAGGCACTGAAATTTTCCAAAGAAGCCCAGGAAATATTACTGCCTCATTGTATTGCCTATTATCTGGAATACCTGCCATATAAATGTATTATACTGATAATAAGTTGGTTGGCAGAATGACAGTGAAGAAGTAGAAAACCCTGAGACAAGGGATCTGTGGTTTCACCATTACCTGCAGCTGAAGCACAGACATATGTAAGACAGAACGAGAGTTTCTTCTAGGCGAAGTCACACCCTCAATTTTAAAATACCAGTTCCAAGGTTACATGCTCAGTGTATCAACTCTGCAGTTGTAACTACACTATCTATTAATTGACTGTGTAGCTGTATCTAAACTGAAAAATCATCATGATGAATTGTTCTTACCCATATGCCCAGTTGTTTCCAGAACCTTGTTTTTGACAGAAGCATGAATGCTGGCCATATTTCCATCGGCCAGACTGGGCAGCCTTTGATAGTGTTTGATTAATAACTTTAGGTTCCATGTCAACAAGTACAGCCCGGGCAATTGGAACTAGAAAGGGGGGGGGAATCAAAAGAATATTTCAATGTCTTATTTGGGTTAACACAGAACATAAACTCTTAAGCCCTCTGGCCCCACCCCCAAATCCAAAGTTTGAGGACAGAAAGATTTGTCAGACTGGTTAGAAATTGAGGTGGGCAACAGCAGGTATGTGTGGATGGTTCATAATGTCTAACATTCTGCTAGGCAGGCTGAATCACTGTGAGCTAGAATGATCACTGGGTCAGGTCTACAAACATCTGTTAAGTGCTTACAATGCACCATGTACTGTGCTGAGAACACAGAGATGAAGACATCAGTACAGCCCTAGAAGAACTAGCTGGAGAGATGAAACACATGACCACACTATCAATGTGGTGACCCACGGCAAATCCACACTAATGGACAAGGTACAAAATACCGTGAGCACGGCAAGCAGTTTAGGATTGTTGAAGCAGATGTAGAAGGAGGGGATAGATGGAGGTGGAAAGCAGGCAGCAATCAGGTGTTGGAAGTCCTTGTATGCAATGCTAAAAAAGTTCAAATTGTATTTTATAGGCAATGTAAAACCACTGAAAATGTTCACACAGGGGAGAAACAGTCAGATGTCTTTTTAAATACAGCAGTGTGGAGGATAGATGTGGTTGACACAACAGTCTAGGAAGGAAAACTCAGAAACAATGTCTTGAAACGGTCTAGGTGAGAGAGGGCAAGAGCCACAACTGTGGAAATGACAGTGAAGATGAAAAGTGCAGAAGAGTTTCAAGAAATATATATAGGAGGTAAATTAAGCAGATCTTTTTTTAAAAAAAGATTTTATTTATTTTTTAGAGAGGGGAAGGGAGGGAGAAAGGGATAGAAACATCAATGCGTGATTGCTATAGAGCGCCCCCTACTGGGGACCTGGCCTGCAACCCAGGCATGTGCCCTAGACTGGGAATCTAACTGGCAACCCTTTGGTTTGCAGGCTGGCACTAAATCCACTGAGTCAGACCAGCCAGGGCAAATTAAGCAGATCTTGATGTCTGATAGTATGTGGGCAGTAAGAGCCCAACTTTTAAAGGAAAGATAGTGAATGCTCCTGGGTATGGAGATGTTGAGTTTGAGGTACACATGGGAATTGCAAGTGGAGAGGTCCACTGATCAGTCTGCAGCCTGGAAGTGAGGCTATGCTAGAGATTTGAGAGTCATTCATGTAAAAGATGTAACAAATTATGAGAATAACTGAAATTGTCCAGAGAGAACCATATAAGTAAGGACAGAGGAACCTGAGATGCAACCACTGGAGAAGAAAGGTTCAGACACTAAGGTGAAGGAGTTTCAAGGAGGGAATTTTATAGTTAATATTATCAAAACCAATAGAGAAGTTAAGTGAATTAAGAAAAGAGTTGATAATCCTGGCTGGTGTTGCTCAGTGGATTGAGCTCCAGCCTGTGAACGAAATGGTTATCAGCTCAGCTCGATTCCCAGTCAGGGCACATGCCTGGATTACAGGCCAAGTCCTCGGTGGGGGGCACGCCAGATGCAACCCCAAATTGAAGTTTCTCTCCCTCTCTTTTCCCCTCCCTTCCCCTCTCTAAAAATAAATATATTTTTTAAATGAAAAGAGTCAATACATTTGGTAACTAGGATATTACTAGGAACTCATCTTAGAGCAGCTTCAGTGGTATAGAGCAGAAGCAAGATTATAGCTGGTTAAAAAGTGTTATCCTTTGAGACTCTTAGATGAGAAGGCAAAGAGGTAATCAAGAAGAAAAAAGCTAAAGTCAAGAGGTAAATTCTATTTGTTTTTTTAAGAAATATTAAAAAAATATTTTTTAATTTATTTTTTAGAGAGAGGGGGAGGGAGGAAGAGAGGAAACATCGATGTGAGAGAGAAACATCAATTGGCTGCTTCCTGTACATGCCCCAACTGGGAACCAAACCTGCAACCCAGGCATGTGCCCTGACTGGGGATTGAACTGGTGACCTTTTGTTTTGTGGGATGATGCCCAGCCAACTGAACCACACCAATCAGGGCATGTTTGTTTGCTTTGAGATTGTTAAGATCTGAGCATATTCTTATGCTGAGAAGGAAGATGCCACCATAGAGACAAAAGTTGCTAATATAAAAGCAAAGGGAGGAGAACAAAGTCATTCCTTAGTGGGATGGAAAGGGATAGAGCTCAGATGAACACCATGTGGATGGCCTGGCCCTGAGCAAGCAGTAGGTTATGTCAAATAATGGAGAGTACTGTGGACCACACATACCTCCATTTTCCTCCTCATTGAAGAATCTTTCTTTGCAGGATGATTGATATGCCTCGTTCTCTCTTTTAGAGCAAAGTCCCTGGGTACAGTGTGAATCACTAAATAAAGCATCAAACACTTCAAAACCAATCTGATTGCCACACTGACCAAGTTGCACTGTTACTATTGACATGCTGAGACAGAAACTAGGCCTATTTCCTCAAAAAAGTGAGCAACCTGTAATAGAAAAAATGTAGGCTTTGAGAACCACTACATTACCAATAAAGAAAAAATAAAATGCCACCTGTGTTAATATACATCAATAAAAAGACATAATTTTAAAATGCCACCTATGTATATGGTGTTATAAATGAAATAGCTATCTTGTCTAAGTTGCCAATCACTTAAGGAAGCTGTTCTTTTTCTCTACATGGTTTTGGGATTTGGGATTTACTGCACCCAAATCCATTCATACACAACTCATTTCCAAAATCTGATTTGTATTTGCTACTTTCCTGTGTATGCATTTAAAACAAAACAAAATGAATGCTGATTGAAGGAATTAACAGCATACACTTCCCACCAGAGAGACACATAGAACGCAGAAGTTAGCTCAACAATAATACATTTAGTTAACATTAATTTTCTCTCTTCTAAATAACGACTTTCTCTCTCCACCAATAACCTTTCCGGCCTGGTAACTACAGTAACACTTACAAGAAAGACTTTGTGTTTAGCTAGTATGGCAAGGAAGACCAAGCCTAGAAAACCTGGACCAGATGAAATATTACAGCAAGTCTTCACCATTTTTTAACAACGAAAAGAGACAATTTTTTGGTAAACACCTCATACCAGGTCTATATAGCACTGGAAAGAGCAGGGGCTTGTGAGGCATACTCTGTACTTACACTTTTCAAACTACCCGGCAAGCTAGCTATCATTATTCTCATTTTATAGACAAGGAAACTGAGGCTCTGAAAGGTTATGCGGCCTTCGCAAGGCGTTTAACTAGTAAACAGCAAAGTCGAGACTCGCCGATTCCCCACCAACCCTAAAAGTTTTCAATTAACCCCACTCACTGACAGCCCCTGGGCCGGCCGTTTCTGTCCTGTTCAAACTTCAGAGAGCCATTATGTTCATGCTCATTTTAAACACCAAAAAAGCTAGAGGAAACAAATAAGCACGTTCCACAAACGAAGAGTTTTGTTGTAAAGTGATTTTTCCCTATTCCGAAAGGTTAATTACGCACGTTCAATTTCAATTTATCAACTTCAGACACAGGACGCATGCTCACTGTCTATCAAACGCTTTGGCTGACAATGCGCACGATCTAGCTTCCCCGAGCGGCTTCGGACGGGGTTCTGCGCATGTTTCTGCCAGCACCTGACTCCCGGCGTTAGTTCTACGCATGTTCGCTACTCTTGGTTTGGCTTCACAGAACCCTGTACGCATGCTCTAGCGCTGAACTTGAGGAGCCAGTCTAAGGCCTAAGCGCAGACGCACTGAGCCCAAGCAGCCAGTGATGGCGGCAGCGGCAGCAGTGGCTGCGGCGGGTCCGGGCCCATGAGGCGACGACGGAGGCGGGACGGCTTTTACCCAACGCCGGACTTCCGAGATAGGGAAGCTGAGGACATGGCAGGAGTGTTTGACATAGACCTGGACCAGCCAGAGGATGCGGGCTCTGAGGATGAGCTGGAGGAGGGGGTGAGGCCCGGGGTCCCGGGGGACCGGAGGTGACAGGGCCGGGGCGGCGGCGCGGGCCCTGGAAGCCCGGCGCATTCGAGAGCGCGGAGACCCAGGGGGCGCGAGTAGTCTCTAGAAGCAAAAGCGCCGCGCGCGGACAGGGGAGCGGGCGAGGCGGACCTGGCCCTAGGTGTGAGGCCGCTGCGGGGCTCGCAGGTGCAGGTTGCGTTTCTAGCCCCATATCTGCGCAGCCCGGAGCAGTCTTTGGGGGGAGAACGGGAGCGTGATCGATTCCTCCAGCTGTTGGACTTGAGTGTGACGGGCGTGAGTGGTACAGCGTGTGTTGGGGGAGGGGGGTACTGCGTTTGCTGGGTGTCCCGTAAGTGCAGGTGAAGTGCGGAAGGGTTTCCCTTGCAGTGTAAGAATTCAGGTATTAAATCTTCAGACCTCCCACAACCACCTCTCTTCTCGGCCTGTCGCTTCTCTCCTAGGAAGCGCTCAGCTGTTAGAAGTGACAGCTGAAAACTTCTGTCGGGAGTAGCGCTGCCGCTGCTGTTACAGCCACCAGGAGTTTTATTTCGGGAGCAAGGGGGCTCTGCTGCATCTTCCAGGGTTTGTTTGTTTGCTTTTTTTTTAAAACCCCCTTCCGTGTGACTTTTTTTTTTAAACATTTATAACGACACACGGGATTTGTAACTTACTTTCCCTCCAATTGACGATGTCTACAATTTTTTCCAAAATATTTTATGTAATTTTGGGGTGGGAAAACACCCAGCGTTGACAGCTGTGATTTAGCTTTCCAAAAATAAGTTGCTTGAACTGAGACTTGTGAATGGCGGTGTGAGGGCTCTCCTTGCTGTAATCTAGGGTGTTAAATTTAGAATTGTTTTTCCTAATGCATAGCTTGGTTTTACCTTTGCTGTCTTAATAGTTTGAAATTCTTTATGGAACATTCTTTTTTCAAGATAAATTTATTGAAAAAAATCACAAATTATACCTTCAGTTCAAAAATGGTGGTGTCATACTGAATCACTGACTCTGGGCAAATCTTCATGATAATTTAGATTCTAAACTCCGTTCTCTAGAACAGTACACGGGGGTAACGACTGATATCTGGTGTCTGCTCTAACTGCCTAAAGGGTTTCCCTTCCTCTCACCTGGTTTTTCTCCTTCTTGGCAAGTTGTGCCCTGCTTGTTGACAAAAGATTCAGATGCTATATATAAAGAACTTTGAAAACTTTAAGAAACTAAGTGGGTCAAAATAATACTGTTCTTTTCATAATCATGTGAGTCTAAACATTACAGTTTGGTAGGTGGATATTGAGATGCATACTTTCAATATGCTTTCATTTGTAATTCCAGTTAGCCTCTTAATGGAACATGTGATACATTGGATATAGCTTGAAACAAAATGGGATTACTTTCGTTACATTTAGCTTGTGCTCTTGTCAGTTACATTGGGTTCATATGGCAGTGGCTTTGGAGCAGGGTAGGGGAGAAAACTTGATTGGAAGGGTGCTTTATAAAATCTTCATTCCTTGAACTGATAGAATTTCCAGACCATTGGTTTATCAGAAGAAGTTAAAGGAGTTGGCAGTAAAATACTGTATTAAGATACCTGTTATGAACTAGAACCACATTGGTTTTGGCCTACTCCTGGACATTTGTTTTGTTGGGTATAAGTCAGTAGGATTGTGAGACATGTGGAAAAGGAGACTGGAGAAATTGGCAGAAATAGGAAAGATAGAAATACAGCCACTACTCTGGGGAGAGGAATGTTGGAGAAAGAGCAAAGGTAATAAAAGAGAATTTTGAGGAAGAGCTTTAGCAAAATACGAGGTCTGTCCAGAAGGTATCCAGCCATGTAATATGAAAAATAGAGACATTTATTAAAGAAGACACAAGAAACATTGTACATAGTACAGTGACAACTCAGACCCCTTCAAAGTAGGCACCTTGGACTTCACACAGTTCCAGTTGCCAACAGCTGCTCTGTCATATTTTCCTGAATCTCATTGAAGGTCTGAAATCTCTTCCTTTTCAAAGGTGATTTTAGTTTTGGGAAAAGCCAGAAGTCACAGGGCTCCAAATCTTGGCTATAAGGGAACTGAGTCACCTGGGTAATTTGATGGTTAGCCAAAAAACTGCACCAGCCTTGATGCATGAGTGGGCACGTTTTCAGGATGAAGCTGCCAATCACCAGTTGCCCATAGCTGCGGTCTTCTGAATCATCCAAATAGTTCCTGAGGAAGAATGTTCAAGCTTGACACAAACTTTGATGCAGATTCATTGCTCTACTTGCTGGTTTGTTTGTTTGTTTGTTTGTTTGTTTGTTTGTTTGTTTAGGGTCTTGCCTAAGTCTGGATTTTCCACAGGTAATAATGGCACTTAGGTGGGGGCTGTTAAGCTAGGTTATGACTGGTGAGAGAAGTGATGAGGAAATAATTCATAGTAACCCCACACTCCACATTGTAGTCTATGCTACAGTGTGAGGCACTGAAATATAAAGATACTATTTTGGCTACTATCTGTATTGTCCCTAGTTTTCTTACCTCTTTACTTTCAAATTTAGACCAAATAGAAAGAACATAAGGCCAGATGGATTGCCCTCCAAATGGTCAAATTTGGGAGTGTGATGTATTTTTCATTATTAAATCCTTATAGTGGGAATAAAAATTGTTACATTTCTAGAGAACATGTTGACAATATACAGTAACATTTAAATGTATATACTTTTTGAACCACTAGCTATTTAAAAAAAATTATCCTACAGAAGTCATCATGTAAACATTTAAAAAGGTGCTTGTTGCAGAAGTATTTTTAGTGGTGAAAAAATTGAAACAAATGTTCATCAATACATGATTGGTCAAATAAATCATGATATACTCATATGATGGAATATAATAAAACCTTTAAAATGATAATGTGAATCTATTTTCTTTTGGGGGGGTGAATCTGGGCTTTTTTCAGGCCCAACAGTATTTATTTTTCTATTAATCTTCATTGTATTTTTCCCCATTACTATTTAGTTCCCTTATACCCCCATCCACTTGCTCAGTCATTTGAATGCGACAGCCACACAGTATACATACTCACTCCACATTGTCCACCACCCCCACTGACTAGTACAGTGAGGTCATCATTGTTCACACATTCACATTCCAGTCCATTCTCCTTAGCTGCCAGGTTACATCAGTGCTGCACAAATGATTTTCATTATGTTAACAATGCTGGAATTTTTCTGGACAGTCACAATGGCTGGAATTTTTCTGGACAGTCATATATCTTACTTAGCAATTCTCTTGGAGTTGAAAATGTTTCTTTTGAGTGTTATTTTAACAGGTGTCTCAAAGTGGAAAAGCAAAAAGAGTTGGTGCAGGATTGGGTTGGCCACCCAAGGAGATTCAGTGACATTGAGGTTCCTCTAAAATTTAAATTTTCTGAAAATGAGAGAAGCTTAGATTTTTAGAAAATCAAGCTATTGTGAATTTATAATACTAGCCCTGATGGGGTAGCATTGGTTAGAGCGTTGTCCCGATTTGTCACAAAGTTGCAGGTTTGATCCCTGTATAAAAGAATCAACTAATGGCCCTGGGCCAGTGTGGCTCAGTTGGTTGGGCATTGTCTTGCAAACCAAAAGGTCCTGGGTTCAATTCCTGGTCAGGGCATATGTTCGGGTTCTAGATTTAGTCCCTGGTCGAAGTATGTATGGAAGGCAGCCAATCTATGCTTCTCATAGTGATGTTTCTCTTCTCTCCCCCTCTTTCTCCTTCCCTTCCCCTCTCTAAAGTCAAAAATAAAAATAAAAGGAATTATTTAATTAAAAAAAAAGCATCGACCAATGAATGCATAAATAAGTGGAAAACAAATCTCCCTCTCTCCCTTCTTCGTTTCCTCTCTCCCTTTCTCACTCTAAAAAAAAAAAGAATTTATAATATAATTATATTCTGGTGATATATGAATATATAACCTTTAGTTCACGAACTTTTAAACATTGGTGTATATCAAAGTGGCCTCGCTTCTTCATTTTATAGTAGAAAATTGAGGAATAGGCCAGAGAGATGATTGCCCAAGACCAGGTAGATAACTAGTGGTAATGTCTTCTGACTCAGATCACAGCACAAACTTCACTGCACAGCTTATTTTTTTGTTGTATTTTTTATTACCATTTAGTGGCCTTGTACCCCCTGCTCCCCAGCAGTCACTACACTGTTGTCCATGTCCGTGAGTCCTTTCTCCTTTTTGCTCAATCCCTCCATCCCCTTGCACAGCTTCTTCATTACATTTACTAGTCTTGTTCATAATGTGTTTCCTTCTGGTGTATCGAAAGTAAATTCAAATCCTTCCAGTCGTACCCACTGACTATGTGACCTAGAATAAATTGCTTAATCTGTGACGTGCTTTTATTCCTCTGTAAATGAGGATTGCATGAGATAAAGTGTATAAAGTACTCTTAAAATATCTTGGCATATTAAGCACTTAGCTAATTCGTGGAAATATAGCTTGTCACAGTTACACATTGCCAAGGAATCAGTTATTCAAGTTTACCCTCATCTCCACCTAGAGATTTGATAGTAAATGCAGTTATACTAGAGGCCGCATTTTTAGGGCCGTAGTATCTTTTTTTTTAATGATCGGTGCTATTTAGAGATACATTTTTTAGGTATGTTACACTGAATGAATCTGTATTAGTAAATATATGTATTTACATAGCATTGCTATTTCTTTAGTGAGTAAAGGGTGAGGACAGTAATTTAATATGTTTATGGATAAAGTTGAATGTTTGCTACCTAACTAAAAAAAGACCCTGACAGAATATCTCAGAGGACTATTATAAAACCAGTGGATAAGAGATAGGGTTTTTTTTTTGGTCCGGGGAAGGTAGGTCTTTTTTATTTTTTATTTTTATTTTTCTGGTGATGGTATAATTTTAGGGACAGTGAGTTGAAACTAAGAGAAAGTTTTCCCCTAGAGATTTTCATTTGATTATGAAAATGGTGGAGACCTCTGCTTTCTGTGGA